GTGAAAGTTTCTATAGTATTGTATCAAAATGTGAGATTTCAAAAAATATTCAAATGTTAATTTATCATTTATGTTTCATACAAATTCTACATCTAGACAGTCTTTTGGTAATGTGCGTTTGCTCATACAGTGATTAGACACCCATTTTACGACTCAGTACCCGATGACATATCACTTTTCACATTCTCATCGCATTTGTTAGATTGAGACACAAACTTACTTTTTATATTATTATTACGAATACGAATTTCAATGGCGTTATGACAAAACGTTACTCAAAATGAGAAATGCGATGGAGCGCGACGTTAAGCCTTAACTACAAAAGTTAATACAAAGGTTATACATATTACTACTTTAGTGTAGAAAACATCGAGTATCAAAATATAATTAACACGTTGATTTGAATCTTTCACTAACCAATAACAGCCGTATACTATAATCAGCCAATGCGTTCGAAAAATTTTGAGCTTTTACTGCAGACGCCGGTTATTTTCGGATGCCTTGTGGGCAATTATGTGAAGGACCAACGGAGACTTATATTATTGTTTTAGTATTCTTGAGTTTACTTCAATATAAAAGAGTCAATCGTTGTGACAGAATAAGTTCAACTTTTTGTCAACATTTAAGTGTAAAGCTCCATTGTTCCTTACGGCGTTAAAATTTCTTGCATTTTTGGTGTTTCCTAGTTATTTAATAGCTTAACTATCCTTAGCCAATACAAAACTTTACCGTGGGCGACCAAAGTCTTCTTACCATCACATTTTGGAACTGTGTGTCTGAGATAATTTAGAAAATTTACGTTATATTATACATATGAATGCTAATTACGTACAACTAGACAAGATTAAATATAAGGGGCAGGGTTATAAGAGTGGTTAGTCAAATTAGTATCGATGTCGATATCATTGAAACAAATGTTAATTTGTCGCACTAAGCGTACGCGCGAACGCAGCTTCTATGACCAGAATGTACACAATTTTTTAACAAAACTCGCTTGGCACGAGAATTTCAATTAAAACAGTAACAAAATAAAACGCGATGACTTATTTATATGTGACCACAAACACACGTCTCATTCACTCTTTATAGTTAAAGGAATTACTTATGACTCTAAATGAAAACTACAGTCGAAATAAGGTTTGATTAATCTAGGTTAAAAAGTAAGACGAGACCTAGTTCGACAAATGTCATGCCGATGGCTATCTACGTATGGTGTGCTCCTACTATGTACTATACTAATAGCATTTGATAAAATACAAATCCAAATAAATATACATAAAACTAATACGAGATATAGTTTTTTAATAAGTAACAATTTTCGCCCCTAATTTACCAACATAAAACAAAATTTCTTTAAAATCAATATAACGGTTAGTCACTTCAGTGAGGTGAAACGCTTCCGCTTCATTAGGATTTACAGCAACTATTTCGTATAGATTATCTAGTTCAGTGTTACTTTTAATATGTATTTGATTTACTTTATAAAATTTGCAAAAGTAACAAATCGTTTCTTTGTACTTTTAAGCAATTCACTAAATTACACCACATTAAATTCAACATGAAGTTTGAATATAGGTGTCTAAATAAATTGTCATTAATTACAAAATTTAACAAATATGTGCAAATAAACTAAGAAGTTGGCAACGTTTGTGTAATTACATACATTTATTTAAACTGAACAAATAACTAAGTGACTAAAATATGAATAATAAAACACATACTACGATTATGTATCTGTTGTATACGAGAGTAGGAAATATAAACTATTTAATAAACGCTCCTAAATCTATACAACCTTAGGTTTCATTCATATCCGATGCGTTATCAACGTTTCCTTCCAAGGAGCTTTGGTTAAGTTCTTAAAGGTACAGAATAGAATGGAAATTTTCATGTACTGAAATTTTACGATATATAAGTTCGAACTAGGAAAATTCTTAACAGTGTAAAGACCTAACTTATCAATAGTAAATGTACACAATTCAAGTTAAAAAGATTAAATAAGTTTTTATATTTGTGTACGTACTTTAAAAATGGGTAAAACAATATTTTTTATTACGAATCATTAAATAACAGAGGAAGATTCAAGATAGGTTGAGCGAATATTAAAATATGTTATCCTTTATTCTTTGTACTCTGCAACCGAAAGTACTACTCGTATTTTAAGTAATTACTTCGTAGGTATAACGGATAACTCTGAAACGTATTTAATTTAGGGAGCCCTCGGACCAATATATAAAATTTTCTATTTTAGTATCTACAGAGGTAATGTCACACTTTATAAAATATTTAAAAGATCCTTATTGTTTCAGAGGACTTTAATAAACTCGTTAAAGTGGATATTTACTTCCAATATATCGTAATTACTTTGAATTTGTACCGGAGAGAGGGGGTAACGTCAAGTATCGCCTCAGCATAATCCTTTCCTATGATAATACTCTAAGTAAGTTGGCTCTGTATTGACTATTAAACAATATGACTTTATAATTTGTGTCGTTTTCACTAAATAACCGAAGTGTAATGTCACTTCACTTTTTCATTTGTACATGGCCACCATCAGATGATCTGGTTCTTTTTTTTTTAATATTTTCCTAAATATACCAACAACAGCTCGTTAATTTTTTTTTTATTTTTTTTTTTCAAATATTTTTTTATTGGATACATACATTTAGTTAAATGTATATTAAACTTTTTAAATATAATTCTATATTCGAACGAGCAAACTTCGATAAAATTAAAATTGATTAACATATGAGGTGACATTACAATTCGGCATATGTTTAAAATAATTAAGGATTTTTGATATTATTGACATTATGTACTATCGATTTATGGCTAAACTAGAAATATGCAATAATATATCTCAATAAACACTTTGTAAGCATCTGCGTGTAGAAAAACGGCATTATTTACAATACTATACTGTGCTATCATAGTTTTCGATATAATATTCCCAATCTTAGAGTAACTTTAAGCGAGAGAATACAAAATTTAAAAAACGTTTAGAGAGGTATTATTACGAACAACCATACTCGACGAACTGGCTACTATGGTCCATCGATTTAAAAATCTATATTTACTATGAATTATAAGTTATAAATATTTTTGTCATTTATAGTACTTATATCATATTTCAAACAAAAAATAATTATCTTCATCTACAGGCCAAGTTAACATTAATTTTTATACTACATAATCAAACATGCTATATAAAGATACATATATGTAAGAAAGTGAGACGATAGTAAGCCAGTTCGCCGCCAATCAAACCGTGCCAGATGACAATGACGAATAATGAGGTGCAGTGATGCGGATGATAGTAATGACGTGCGATATAGGTGATGATACCCTGAACGTGAATTTAGACCAAACGAACGAAGAGCAAAGGATAAGAGCTAGAGATTTTCCTGTAAATAATAGCTCTTATCATAAGCTGACAAGTAGTTATAAGCCACTTGTCAGTAAGACACCCAAGGACGCTTGTTAGAACATTCTACCAAATTCAGTGCAATTGTGGTAGAGGCCGAACACTCTTAAACACGTTTGCACTAAGATTTTGCAAATTGGGAAAGAATAGACATTCGCTCGCTTGGTGTAAACCCAGCATGAGTCTAATAAATACGCAACATTTATGAACAAATCGTATTCAGTCCACGAATTAACGTTTCAGAACGAAGTACTTACTCCGTTACGAAACCGAAGCGATTACTTTAATAAAATGTAAATGGCAGTTTTGAATTTAGAATAATGCAAAAATTTTCACCTATAAAAATTGTCAAGTCTTCATAGAATTATTGCCTACATTGTGAACTTTTGAATGTTCACGGATATCACGTTAACCTATTTTGTAAAGGAGCCATTAAACACCTATCCGCACCACTTGGTCTATCCACTATTCACTAAACACGCACTAGAACTAGGAATTTTATCACTTTTAATCACTTTTGCGAGTAATAAGTATCAAATGTATCAAAAACTTACCTAAAACATTAACCGTTAAACATTAATGAGTAAATGTGCATCACTTATACGCTTAGTCAATGTCGAAGCGCTATACTTACAAATAAATAGACATCCATGATAATTATAAGAAAATCCTTAACCTAAACTATAGACGTAGCCAAAAATCTTTTCGTTTAACAAAAAAGTACCGCTTCGTATAAATAAATGCTTTCAGTGATAAGCGGATATTTATCTTACAAAGTAATTCTGTTTCGAATATTGAGGTTCTTTCATTTGATATGGCACGATTCCATAAATTATTATTATATTCATATAAAATTTTATTTTTTATCGAACTCCGCTGATCACTGAACTTATTAATATATTCAATAAAAACAAAACAGATATCTGTATATAACCTTACTATAAAGATAGATATATATCGACAAGCTAATCATATTATTGGTGACACAGCAATCGCTTAAAATTAAATTCCTCTACCGTTATTAAGTGAAAAAAAATATTTATTTATAAGTAAATGAAAATGATATCAAAGAATATAAATAACCTAACATGGCATTTGCAATCCCTTTACAGAATGTAAGTGCCATTTGGTGGGAGAAAAGAAAATCGCCATAAATCTACGAAAATATTGTATAACACTTAAGTTAAGTTTAAAAGTTTAAAATTTTGCTAAAATAAAACATAACTAATAAACTAAATTGAACTAAACAACACACCACTCAAAAGCCCTATTACATAGGGTTCTCTTATCAGTATCACTGAAATTGAAGGTAATTATAAAAAAAATCTTTTTAAGGTCCTTCAGAAGGAAAACAACTCCGGTTCAAGGTTCAATCAAAAAAAAAAAATGCAATTTCTGGCGTCACTATACAGATACCCCTAATTAGTATTTTTGATAAAATCAACATCTACCTATTTTAATCAACAAAGTGCAGAATAAAATTAAAATAAAATCAATAGTATGATCTAAACCGATACATAAAATTATTTTCAATAATACCAACTTAATTTTAACAAAAATTATTCCTAGCGCCTCAATGAGGACATACAAAAGTTCAAAAACACAGTTGTCTCACTTGCACGGTTTATGCGATTTGGTTCAAGTAGTCGATGAAGTCATTGGAGAACAATTGCAGGTTCGACGGTTCATTGACCGGGATACGGCGTGGGGCACTACAAGTGCTCAAAGGTATAGGCCTTTCCACTGCCTTTGGGCGAAGTGTCGCAAGATATCTCTCAGCGAGAGATTCACCGAGGCTCATAGCGAGGGTTTCAGGGCTCAGCCCAAGTAGGGAAAGCGATTCCGTTATACTCCCTAGTGTCGGTGTGAGGTATTTCACAGACTCATCTGTCGGTTCAGGTGCGCGAGAAGCCATGCTTGTATTGACAACTGGGCGTAGAGCAGGCGGGGAAGCCCGTCGTGAAGGAGACGGTGCAAGTCCCCACGTTTCTGGGGGGGTGCCGGGAGAGGGCCCCGGCACCGCCGTTTGTTATGGCCACTGCTGGAAGAGCGGGAAAACCCGTTTTGTGAAGCAATAAGACAATGGCTTCACGAAATGCGTATCAACAACGCGACAATGAGGGCATGTCACTGGATGAGAGTAGTCCGAGTAATTCAGTCGTTGGTGCGGGTGCAGAAGTGGCTTGTAGCAATTGTTGCACTGTGAACAAAAAAATAAATAAAGTTATTATTAATTATAAATTAAATTAAATAAAATATTTCTGCTAGTTTAGTAACTAACCTTCAATCTTTCAGCGCAACATGGTGTAGCCATGAAGATATCATAGGAGTACATGGTGCCAAGCACAAGCGATGAACCATCCCACTTTTGTCCACAAAATCGACAACGGATGGTACGCTCAGGATCATATCTCTCCAAGCATCCCATGCACACGCACGTAAGATACTGTGTGCGACCCTCGACTTTCACCTGAATAACAAAATATATTTTTTTAGGCCAATATTCTAACAATAGCTTTTGATAGATAAATCTATAAATAATACGTCTATGTGGGGGTATAACAAAGAAGAAGACTTTAAGGCATACTAATCCTAACGTCAAACAAACACGTAAGTATCTGAGAAAGCTAGCATTCACGTCGTAATTCACTGAATAAACAACGCCAGTCGAAAAGTTTGGAGCGAGTTGCAAAGATGTTTTCTGTTATTTTGTATCTTGAACTAACTTTCAGAATCTTATTTAAGTTTGGTATGAAAATGATGGTTACTGTACTGCAAGATTTTATAATTTTTTTTTGAATATGGCAAATATTCATTGTGATAATAATAATTAATCAAAGATTTTGTTAATTCATAAAAATTTTAGCATACCTCAACGGCACTGCTCGTATGTTGTCGAGGGCTGAGAAAGAAAGTCCCATCAACCAGTGGATACCGGTCAAATACATGAAGAGTTTCTTTACAAAGCGCACAAGACACACGAGGCTTATGCTGACCAGCCAAGGTGGAGAGGATGAATAGCCGCGTATCATCATTACCGTGGTTTCCTTCGTCTTCAATCTGCAACAATAAAAATATTGATATAGTTAAAAACATAATATACCAGTACCGTATACAATTTTAGTCAAATTAAAAATGTATTTATTATAAATAAAAACGTAGGTATGTGCACTGGTATTAGAAGTTCAAAGCATGTAAGGCCATAATAAGTTTGTTGCAAACGAAGCTCTCCTTGGTAAACCGCGTTCACGATTACAATATATTATAGACACACATTAACATATTACGATTAATGCATCCACCCAAGACACCACAACTCTCCCTTCGTAATAATCCAAGTAAATGACTGCATAAAGCTGAATAATGAAAGGTTGAAAGGCAATTACGCTGAATTCGGAGTCGAAGTCAAACAAAGGCTCACAAGCGCCACAGAGATCGATTGTAAGCACAATTTGTTAACGTACGAGCAATTTGTGAAAGCGAATAATAATGAAAGTTTAACGAGTTACTGCTACGTCGTAGGACTTAATTAAATATATAATGAACTGTCAAAACGCGATACAATTGTTCCTACATCATAAAAAATATATACGCGAATATTTAAACTATAATTTTCAGCTTTTTTGCTGTATTAATCAGACAAATCGATACACAAAATTCATGTCATATTATGCGAAATCAGAAATCTATATTTCCACATACCAGCGTGTTTCATGTTAGCATTCCTATTATTCTATTATTAGAATGACGTCTTGACACCAGGAACACATAAAACGTCTTGGCGAGAGCGTTGACCCACGCAAACAAACACACTATGATTGGCAATATAGAATAGTGCAGTTTGCCAAGAGACGAGTCGAGATAAGTCATCCGGCATCACAATCGTTGCCTAGACTGAACAATTACACTGGATGATTAACGAAGTGATAAGATCTCGTCCATTTGTGATTTGCAATCATTCATCATCTGTCATCAAATTTGTAAATGATAAATAATTAACCACATACGAGTAGCTTATCTGCGAGAGACGTACGTGATTGATTTGTTGCAATGGTAACACGCTTATAAATAAATCTATACATATAATAAAATTGTAACTAAGCCGAATCTGTACATTAGATATTTTTTGAAAAATCTTATTGAAATAAACATTATTATCGATACAGAGGCCGAATCTATAGTTTTTAGAATTTTTGTCTGTCTGTCTGTCTGTTACCGCATCACAGAAAAACCACTGAGGGGATTTTGATGAAATTTGGTATGGTGATAGCTGGTCATCCGGGTCAACATATAGGATACTTTTTACACAGGCAAAATATCTCATTTCTGAGGAAAAATACAAAAACTGCAATGTAAGAGTATACTAATATGTAAAACCTAAGAATTTGGTTTTTATTCATCTGAACGCGGGCGGAGCCGCGGGCTATGCTAGTAGTACCTTAATCTCGTAAAATTCATTGCTTAATGATTAAAGTTACACTACGAGTAATTCTTTAAGGAATAAATTAAGACTTTAAAAAAAACCTAAATTACATAGTGAACTTATAAAAAGTATTCTTAAGTTGTCGCCTTAGGATTAATGAGTGACAATTAAATTCTTAAGTGCCGCCTTAAGCAAAACTTCAGTGAGATTGCAGCTCGTGAACGCCGTACCCAACTGTAGTGACATGTCTTGAACTTGCACAATTTACTATGTGGATGCTAAAACAACAAAATAAACGATTTCTTTATTTTATTTGAACCCGTTATTGTAATAGAGTCATAATTACTAATGCATATGGAGATCAGTCCGTTACTTCAGAATGGAATACAATCAATTTCTTAATTATTAAGTTTTAATCAAAGCGATGCAAATAGAAGGAGCACTCGAGTTCCTAAAAATTTAGATTTAGCTCTGCGAAATTGCATTGAGTCTGTTCGTTTGTTTCGATGTTCAAACAACAAAAGCGTCAAGTGGTCGTTTAAAAGAGGAGACGAGTGGAATAAAGTACGCTTCAAGCCTCGTTAGTAGTCGACATGCCGCAAAACGAATGTACACACATTAAAACTTCCCAAAATGAATGTGCCGCAATAATCAAGGAGAATCGGTAAGGACTACTTGAAAGAGTTAGAATTGTCAGTTATATTCAGTAATTAAGAGTATAGATAGAATTTGTATTCTAAATCTCAGATGCCGATGTTTAAACATTGGGAATAGAACATAAAATATAAATAAACATATATTGATATAATCAGTTATATTTGTCGATTACTAAAAATTCACTTTTGTTCAATTCCAGGCTAAATGAAACAGCTCTCTTAAATGCAGCAACATGTATAAAATAATAAATATCAACCGCCTCTTAGGGTGGCTTATTTTTAATTAGGCAAATGAAACTTTTCCTATTATATTCCATCGTCGTTGGCACTCTGCTAAGCAGCGTAAAAATAAAATTGAACTAAAACCAGAAAGAAGAACCAGAAAAGCAAAATGGAAATAGAGATAGCTTAAACAGAATTAAAATATCTTTTCGTAAAATTATCTTAAGGAAAACTTACAAGTAGACAGGTTTAGTACAAAATGCCAGCGTTGAATTTATGACTATAATAGATGATTGTGCTGAATTGCAATTTTTCAGCAGTACATTTCAAACAATATGTCTGCTAGCGGATTATATTTGCGGAGCTCAATACATTTATACTGGAAGTTTCGTTGCGTTTACTCTATACTTTCCATTGTCTGAGAGCATCGCTGTAATCCACGGTTTACTTTCTACATTAAAATGTACATTTAAAAAATGAATGTTACTTTCCTAAAACTAAATATGCTTACAGTGTAATTGTTTCCTCTAAAAATAGAGGTAAAAGATTCATGGATGTGCATAAATAACTTATTACGTAGGTATTAAACAAATTTTAGCAACAAGCAAAGTATTATGCAGCCTGCGAATATTTAGCAAAGGTATTTCTATATAAAATTTATCAGAAATATTGCTATCTTGTTCAAAAATGTGGATGATCGTACGAAATATACGAAATTTTATGTGTCGTATTTAAGATATTTGCTCGCGTGAATTATTCTCACATCTCAAAAATTCCATATTTCAGGAAGGATATTGCGTGTCACAAATTCTATCATATTTTAACACTGATATAACGTTTTAATTTACAAACAAATATTATATTACATATACGTATTGTAATAAAACGTACTTATATGTATGTACTATCTGCTTATATATGGACTTTTATTTCAGCTTTATTGTTAGCAAATCTCATAATGGTTCTTAAAATGCAGATATTACAATGAATTTTATAGTCTAGAAGCGAAATATTTCAATTGTTTCATTTCTGTTAAAGATTTAAGTTAAAATGGATGTAAATTATAGCAGAGTACATTGAAACCTAATGAGTTTACGAGCGCTTTGATGCGAATTTGATGAGGTAGAGTTACAAGTGTTGAAGATTCAATTTTAATAGAATGCTATATTTTTATTAATGTTTGAAATAAAACATTTTTTCATATAAGTCGCTATTTAATCAAGTACTCGAGAGTCGACAATGGCAAATAAAGTTGTTAAAGCTCAAAGATATTTGAATTATGTCTTGGCAGACATGAAAAACTACTTATCGTAACTACATTTTATAGTTAGTCGTATTGTTGTATCTAGATAATGGCCGCTAGACTTGTTGTTTTTTTATTATTCTTAATGGTCTCTTTTAGTCTTAGTTTTTATTATTTGTCTAACTACACTGCTTATAGTTTTACCCAATGCATTGTTATTCTATACGGTCAGTTTTAACGGTCTGTATAGATTTCTCAGTTCAGTGAACAGTATCCTAAATGTCGACCCGCGTAACCAGCTATCATCATACTAAATTTCATCAAAATCTGTCTAGTGGTTTTCTCGTGATGCGTTCCCAGACAGACAGACATACACACAAAAATCTAAGACAATAATAAGTGTGTAATCTGAAATAATAATGACTATTTCAATAAGATTTTCCAGAAAATATTTAATATACAGATTCGACTCAGTTTTATTATATGAATAGATTACTAAACTGTAAATTTGATAGCACTTTCTTATGATTTTATATAGTACACTATAATAAAACGAAGTATCGATAAGCCACGATGACGACTCAAACTATTTTAACAAGACTACATAGAATATATTTTATCAAAATCGTACACATATGAGTATCATTGTCACTAATTCCTTTGTCCGAGCGTAAAATGATACATAAATAGCCAATGTGTGTATTGATGTAGGTCAAGGCATACGAACTCGTGAGTAATTGTTCAACGTTTTAAACGATAAATGTTTTCTTAATGTGAACTATGTTTAAAATCGTTATTTTCATAGTAACAATAATATTGGTATTTCTAAGAAAATGATGACAAAGCTTTTTACCCGACTGCACGACACAAAGGAGGGTAATGTGTTTATTAAATAGTACATATGCGATAAATTTAACGCTAACACTAATATTTCATGTACATAATAATATAAGTTAAATATATTTTAGAATATGTTAATTTATTATTAACGATTACGATTAGCTTTAGTGCACCTAAATTACTATGTAAATTGAAACTAAACTTAAACTGGATACGCTACTTTGTATTAACCAGTCTAATTTCTATTCCAACAGTGCGTAGTATATTGCTGTTTATTATTTACTTGATATGAAAATTCAAAATTCAATAATATCAGAATAATCTTATCCTTGTTAATATTTATTTAAGTTTTTCAACTCAACTTTATCAATAAGTAGATTGTTAGGAAATAACTTTAATAAAATAACGAATCTGTAATGTAAAGCGATAGTTAAACGAACATGTACGACCACGTGCGATCACAGCTGAGTCAACATGATTATTCATAACATATGGTGAAATCCTTACGAAGTGTTATGTCTACTGCTTCAATTATGGCGATCGGTTGAAAATATTTTTAAAATACCTATACTAAATGTAAAAAAAGTGCTATACATATATATATATATATATATATATATATATATATATATATACAGTTAGTTAGTACTTTTTTTACATTATATATATGTAACAT